CTTTGTAAATGATGAAAATATAATCATAACCCCGAATAATCCTGGGCAATTAACAGAGATCCAGCCCTTGCTATCAGAGTCCTCATCTGCCCCTTCTTTAGAAAATCTGAGGGCAATCCTGGACAAGGCCCTAACGGACTGTGGAGACCTTGCCTTAAAACAGCTGCATTACTTACGACCAGTAGTTGTTCTTGAAAGATCCAAGTTTTCCACACCTCTCATAGACTTATTTCCAACAAAAAAGGCAGATGAGCTGTGTGTAGGAAGTACGTAAGTAGCTTTACTTAGAGCATATTGCCTCCACTACTGCTCTATGGGGAGAACTTCAAATTAGAACAGTAATTGTTACAGTACACACTTTTAGGTTAGTTTAGACTGTTTAATTCCATGAATGTATAATATCTGTCGAAAGTATTGGCCAAGTTAATTTAGCTCCCCCAATTTTTTCAATGAACAATGCTGATTTTGGTGCTATTTAACACATCAGAATACTGGGGGCTTCCTCTTGAAGAGTAAATGTGCATGATTGTATATGGAACAAGTACTGGGGTACCAGGGTTTGGGGGGTGATGGAGTTATTACTTGACTTGAATGTGCACCCTAGGGTGCTTTGTGTAACATATTGTACACTACAGCATCTTATATTTTTTGAGTTATGAGTTTCAATAAATTACAGTTTTTCACCCATTTGTTTACTGTACAGTAAATCTTTAATGTGCTTTACTTGTAATTGAGTTTGGGACCATTCTGAGTGCATTGGAAAATGTTGCTTAAGTTTTATGCATTTGTAGATAATTTATCAGACTGATGAAATAGATACAGAAAAGTAAAGTATTACATTTTATTTTACAACATTCTCTGTGCTTTTTTCACATTTGAAAGATTTATAATTAGTACAGGCAGAAAGCACTTACCAATTAGGGACAAGAAAATCCGTGTTCCTTTAAAGGCAGAAGGTGCTTCTGAGACTGTATGGCACCACCTGAGTGTGTGACGAGTGTTGCCAGACTTCCTTGGAAGTTGTGTCATATGAAAGTATCAGTGCACATTTTGGGTTCCCCGCTTAGCTTTTTTGACAGTGAATAAAACCTAGTTTGTCAGTTCTTTTTATAATTGGAAAGATTCTGAGACCACAGAAGTTGTCCAAAAATAAGGAACACAAGAGTTTCTGCCTGGCAGGGTGGAAGCTTTTCTGCTTCATTTTAATTCTGTGACTGAGTTTGCATTTCCTGTGTGCTCTTCATATAAGCTCTGCTGCAAACTTGCCACCAAAGAACTGTACAAAATCATACAAAATTACACTTATACAATCCTACTGTGCTTAAACTGTGTATTAAACTTCTTCAGCGTTCCAGCTTTTCTATTAAAAATTTAGTCCTGCCACTTGATACATAAACAATTCTGCATACTACACATGAATTCTGTGACATTTCCATAATCCCATGGAACAAGTTGTGTGTGAAACTTTCATTTCCTCAGAGATAATTCTGCTCTTGCCAAATGAGTTACCTACCGCACGCGTGTAAATCACCACCACTGCACACAGGGCAGGCTGGTACCTGTTGCACATCTGGTGTTACAGAGCCCTTTAAGTAGGTTGCTGCTGTTCAGTTACTGCTATTTCCATAGGCTGGGATATACCACAGGAGTAGACGGAGACAAACATCATTTCTGTCTGCTAGATGTGGAGACAAGTCATGCGACACTCCTCAGTCCAAGAGTTGCATTTAGAAAGTGGTGGGTGGGTTTTCCTCAGGGGCTGCACAAAAGCATCTTGGAGGCATTTTCCTGTGGTGATGTGGCACCCCATGCACTGCCAGGACTCATATTTTTGTTGAAAGATACCAGTGCAGCACTGGTCAGTCAGATCCTTCCTTGTTACAAAAATTATATCTTGCCCAGTTCAGAGACTGACAGTGTATTTCAGTTTTTGAACTCCACTTGTTTATCATCTAGGTAATAGGTGTCACAGCATCAAAACTGTACAGCTTGAATCCACATCTTTATCCCAATTTCTTCTTGGGCTTGTCTGATCTAATTGCCTGTCATGGGTGGGCACCAGGAAAGGAGACCACAAAAGGGTAATGGTCTGAAGAGTTTTTACTGTCTATTTCTGTTTTCATGCCACAAGGTAGGCCATCATTTTCCTTTCCAAGTGCTACCAGAACTTGTCTTACAGCGAAGATGTAACATTTCCAGCTTCTTGCTTTCAAACGTACCAGAGAAATGTTTTGTTCCACTGTAAAGGAACACCTTCACATTGACTTCCTAAAAAAAAGAATTACTGTGAACAGCAGATAACTCAGGAAACACAGATGCAAGTTCATAATCGGGGAATGTTGCTTCCATTTTTAAAATTACTGCCTTTTGGTGTGTGGATTTTTTTGGACCACAACATGTTTATTGGTTGTACATGCCAAAATTCCCCAAGGCTACGGGGCTACCCTGCCGTGTTCTCATGGTTAGTAAAAAACTGTAAATACCTTTACAAAGAGAGACCTTCCAGGCTGACTTCTGTCCTGGTAGGGCTCAGCAGAGCCAACGGATTAGTTCCGTGGTTTTTCTTGCCTGTTGTTTTCTGTTTGCCTTTGCTCGTGCAAGATCTTTAAATTTTATGATGCTGGTAAGGCCTTGTGACATTATTTCGCAGATTCTGCATCTTGACTACCTTGAATTCTTCAAGAGAAATTCAATTTCCAGTTAAGTCCTCCAATGTCTTGTCAAGAATCTGAGCAGGGTTCTGACAGAGAGCAGGGGAGTCTGAAATTAAACCACCTTGTCTTTGGCCCTGTGAGGTGCTAAACCTGGTCTCCCCCCTAAAGTTTACAACTGCTGCCTTTGAGCCCTTCTGCTCTCCTGACTTCCCACAACAGTATTCCCTGAGTTTGGAGGGGGTGAGGTGGGACAGGAGAGCTGTTTGCTCTTCTTGAAATTATCTTAAGATTTACAAGTGTAGAGAAGGAAGGTAGGTAAGGGATTATTTGGGATGCAGTGCAGTGCCAGAGAGGGCTCTGATGTGACCATCTTGGATGAATTTCTAGAGCTTCCTCTATGAAAGGAGAAAAGTGGCAGCCAGTAGCAGGCCTGACTAGGAGCAGCACTGCCTCATCTGCCCTGGCAGTATTTCTTCTGGGGGGACATGCTAACTTGAGAAAACGCTAGGCTTCAGTATGTTTTACAGGTCATTCTGCTAAATAGTAACAAAGGTAACTGGTAGAAAATGAGAAAATTAAGTTGGCATTATTTTACTAAAAGTTAATGATAAAAATACACAAACAGGTTCTGTTATACTTTGAACTGGTAGACACTAGATGAATGACTGACACTAAAATGCCATATCAAGAACTGGCTAAACAGGAGCATTCATTAATGCCTCTTGTAATGTGTCTCTCTGTGTTACACAGTCACTGTGCTCTGCGTGGCACATGTGTCCTCACTGCTGCTGGGTGGACTCTGGATTTCAGCAGCACTGTGCTGTCTTCACAAAGCATTACAGAGACCAAATATGAAGCAGGTGTTTTGGCTCTAAATAAACCCTTGATTCCTTGTAGGTCTGTAGCTTTTTATTTCCCAAAACATTTTTGGTTTATTCTGAGTCAGGAAAAGAGGTGTGCTTACCTTCAGAATGAACTGAATTAGGCAAAAACCATGACAAGAAATGCTTAAAGTGTTGTAAAACACTGAGGAGTCACCCTTCCCTCATATCACAGGTGTTCCAGTCCCTTTGTTACCTTCATAGCCCTTCACTCCAGTAGCTCCATGTCTCTCTTGTACTGGGAAGCCTAGTTCATGGTCCTTCACGTGAGTCAGTCACTACTATGTGCCAAGTTAACTGCTACCTCAGCTCATCCCCAGGGATGGTCCGTAGCAGCTGCTTTGCCTCTGTGGCAGATCCCTGGTGGCATGACCAGGAGTAGCAAATCCCTTGAATTCTTCCCTGTTTCTTAAAAAGGAAGGAACCCACATTATGGGAATTTCTCTGCAGCGGTATCTCTCTGCAATGGGAGAGCAAGCAGCCAAACAAATGACTTTATGGAAGATGTGGTATGCCAGCCTGCTTTATTTTAGGAAGGACTTAACAGAGCTTACTACAGTAGGATTAGAGTCGATGATACTGCATTGCACAGAGATAAAAAACAGCTGTTGAGAGACAGCCAAGGGGCTGCCTGCAATAAGCACAGGAGAGAAAATCAGTGAGTACTAGAACAGTCAGTGTTAATTTTTGTACTTCTCTTAGTGTTGCTGTAAAAGGATTTGGACAAGTATTAGCAAGCTTTTATATGCATTATTGTGCGTAGTCTGGGTAACTTGAGAAAAATAATTTAAACATCTGGTGCACTGACACTCAGATTCTCACCAGGCTGACCTCCATGTCCCTTGACCCAGCTCTGTGGGCTCCTGACTGGGGTGGACAAGCCGAGCCGAGCCGTGCCGAGTTGAGCCCAGCCCGGCCCGAGCGGAGCCGAGCCAGCCCAGCGCAGCCCGAGCCCAGCCCAGCCCGAGCCGAGCCCAGCCCGAGCCGAGCCCAGCCCAGCCCAGC